CGGCCCCGGCCAACCGCCTGGTTTTGCCCATTAGTATTGTTTTAAGAAAATGGCAGACAAGCCGGACATGGGGGAAATCGCCAGCTTTGATAAGGCCAAGCTGAAGAAGACGGAGACGCAGGAGAAGAACACCCTGCCGACCAAAGAGAGTGAGTGCTTCCCCGCCTCCGAGTCCGCGGGCCGCAGCCCAGCCCCCACCTCGCCCTTCCCCCCTCCCCGTGGATGCCTCCTGTGTGGGCGGCCCCGGGCCCCTTTCTTGTTACACTAAGCGCTTATCTGCGCAGTCCCAAGCCCCTTTATTAATCCCCAGACCTCTTGGGTCCTCTCCCACGCCAGGTCTGTAAGCGCATAGGTTTGGGGGGTTGCAAGTTGGCCTCACCGCCCCCCTCAATGTCCGCTTCCTGCTCTCCACAGCCATTGAGCAAGAGAAGCAGAGTGAAATTTCCTAAGAACCTGGAGGATTCCCCACACCCCGTCATTTTAGAGACCCCAGTCGTGATGTGGAGGAAGAGCCGCCTACAAGATGGACACACGAGCGACAAGCTGCACTGTGAACCCCAGGCACTCCATGCCCATGCCATCGGCCTTTGGGTCTCCGAGGGGACCCTCCCAATCGAACTGCCAAATTCTCTGGTTTGCCCTGGGATATTGTAGAAAATTATTTGTATGATTAATGAAAATAAAACACCTCGTGGCATGGCTGGCGTGATCTGAGTCTTAGTTGGGTGTGCGTGGGCATTGCCGCTGCAGCAAAGCCCCAGGCAGCTGGAATTGAGTTCCTGCTGCAGGGGAGGGGAGGAAGTCGCCCATGGGCTGGCTTGGCAGGACCATTTTACTTACTGGCTTCTCAAGATTTCTTGAGTACTGTTTAGCTCTTCTAATGCAGTCCATGTAAAATTTAACTCTACTTTGTCATTCCTGGAAACCGTTTTGAAAAATGCTCTCAGAAGAACAGAGTTTATTTTTGATAAGCTTTACAGTTCCACTGTTTCCCTCTGTCTTCCTCAAAGCTCAAATTCACACTGGGAGAGTAAAGTCAGAAGAGAAACTAAATCTAGAATGTTTGGAAATGGGCGAGGTCACAAAGTCTCCGGGAAGCTTTCTCTTGGAACTTAAAAAGGAGGCATTAGAACAAAAAGGTGGGATCCAGGGGTAAGAGCAAGAACATCGGAACTAGAGTAACCCAACACCAGAACAACCTTTTAACCCCAGTTCAACCTTACACAAAAGCGGTAGCCATTAGAGGAAGTGTGGGGCCGCCTGTGCTGTGTTCTGTGTGCTGTGGTCAGGAAGGGTGTGACTGGAGGGAGGGCAGGACCTGGCAGCAGAACCCCACTGGGGTCACACCCTCTGGACCCACAGCAAAGGGATATTGTCCCAGGGGGGCCTAGTGGAGGGGAAGGGGAATTTCTGGAGAGGCAGGGCATACTGGAGCTGAAGAAACTGGCCTGTGATTCCAGGGGTGGAGTTTTCTTTTTTAAAGGAAGATCACAAACGATTTTGTCACATTTTCATCTGACCATAAGGGCTGGACACTGGATGAAAGAAATTTCAAATGAGATGCAGTCCCTGTCCGCAGGGACTTAAAAGCAAGTGGGTGAGCCCGGCAGCAGACCCGAGCCTGGGGACACATCTGCTGAGGGAGCCATTGCCTGTTTTGCATAAAGTAGTGACTTGACTGAGACCTGTGCTGTGCGGGGTAAGTGGTGGGCCTGGGGAGGAGAAAATAAGGAAGGGAACATTAGGGGACTGCTTTGAGTGGGCCACTAACCTTCACTGGATGTCTGCTATGGGCCATGCACTATGCTAGAAGCTTTAATTCTCAGAAACTATTAAGGCAGTATGGCTGTTAACCCATTTTACAGCTGGGAAAACAGGTTCAAAGAGACAGGATTTGCTAAAGTCACACAGCTAGTGAGTAGTGGAGCCTGAACTTGGAGCCAACGGTGTGCTTTTGACGCTCCTATAGCCCAATGTTTGGAACATCTGTTGTGTCAAGTGTTTTTTGAGAGTTCACTACCTCAAGCATATTTATAATTGATCCTGTTGGGCTCTATCATTGGGAGGTTAAAGAAAAGGAAACAGAAGAAATCACTACTGCATTTAAACAGTAATAGTATGTTTGCTGGTGAGAATCAGTCATTCTGACTCCATCTTTCTTGGGCCTGCCCAGTTCCCATAACATTGGTTAGCAACTTCTGCTTAGTCTTGCACATAGACATCTGCAGGAAACTAAGCTGTAGCCTAGGAATTACTGAAACAACCTCTTAGCTAAAAATTACCTCCCCTGAAAGACAAGGAAGGTACATACAACAATGATTGTTTATCAAAAGATTTGTAAGAACCTTGTGACTGGGACCACAGCAACAAAAGCAAAGAAGTTTCACCATACCCCCTTGGACCCTTGCTGGCATCCAGATGTCTATAGTCACCAATTACCTGACCTCAAACCCCTCCCGTTTACCCCTTCCCCTGACAAAAGAAGCCTGAATTCTGTACTTTCTCAAGGTGGTTCATTAGAACACTCATCCACCATCTCGGCTTGCTGGCTTTCCAAATAAAGTCGTTTTACTTACCCCAACTCCTGTCACTCTTTGGCTGTCATGAGTAATTCGTGCTTTCACTCAATTACAGGCTAAGCGTGCTGGGTGGAGGAGGGATTGGGAGTGCTACTGCAATTTCCAGTGGGATGGTCAAGAAGGACCTGGGAGCCAGCTTTGGGCAAAAAACTAAGGAAGAGAACAATGGATACTAGGAGGGATGTGGTGCCTAAAGAATGTCAGGAAGAGAACAATGGATACTAGGAGGGATGTGGTGAGAGGTGCAGGCATTGAGGTAAGAATGTGCCAGAAGCCTCTAAGAAAGGACAAAAAGCTGGATGGAGTTAGCGAGGTATAGGGAGATAGATGAGATGTGAGAGGACAGGAGATGGAGGCAGTGGCTCTTGAAGTCCTTGAAACTGTTGCAAGGTAGTTTGGGGAGGGGTCCTCCTTCCTGCTCCCCACCTCCACCCCAAGGCACATCATAGGGGCTTCTCGTGGTTCCGCAGTATGCTGCTTGTGCATACCACACCCGGGCCTCTTCTGGACCCAACCTCCTCTCCACGGCTCGATCTGGGCTGCAAATCCCAGACACTCTTCCCTCAGACCCCACAGACTCTTCAGCCCCAGTGGGGTCACCCCAGAGAGCAGCTCCAGAGCCCCATCTCTTGGGACACCCCTAACCTTAGAAGATTCACATGGCTTTCTGATCCCCTCCCCAGGAAATCTCTGTTCTGAGGTTTTGGGTGCTGATGAGAGCCTCGCTCTTAAGAATTTAAGAAGACACAAGTCAGGAAGAGACTTAAGGGCACTTTCACTTTTCCACCCTAAGACAATGAGCTGATTAGATGGGTCCAGGACAAGGTGAGGAAAGGAGATTTGAATAGACAAGTGCGGTGTGTTATCATTTCAGAAATATTACACCACATTGGTTTACAAGGTAAGGCTGGCCTTCCCTGACCCATCTCAGCTCTGGAGCTTCGCATTGGTGCACACTTCTAGAAATCTTGTGGCCCAACGTTAAAACCCCCAGAAGACAGGCCCAGAAGGCCAAGCATTGGCCAAAATGGCCGCCTTCATAGGCCCCACCTATGATTGATCCCAGGGGATCGCATGGAAATCACCGTGGCAACAGCACCAAAACTCTGAGTTGGAGAGTCAGAGAGCATTGAAACACCCCAGGCCCACTCTTTTCCTCCCTCCTCCCCACCCTTACCACACCATTTCTATTTCTTGCCACCTGGGAATACTGACATCCTTGAAAGAGTTATATTGAATTACTGATTTATGCCCTTTTCCGCTTATCTAAGAATCCAGGAACCAATTATTAGTCCAATCACAAAATGACTGAGCTTGCTCTGAAGCTAAAATAAAATTGTAATGTTTCTTTTCAAATACATCTGAACTTTTGTTTTCTTACTTCATTCCTAAGGCAAGTTTTAACAATTAGGCCTCTGTGTTATGGATAGGGGTCAGGATTTGGGACTTTTCACTGTCTGTCTCAAGGTGGACCAGGGGCTCAGGACTGCCAAAGGGCCCCCTACTTGCTCACCACCTCCTATTGAGTAAGAATTTGCTGAGTGCCTGGTACGTACCTCGTACCTCGGAAAACAGTCAGAGGACCCCTCAGGGAACACCTGCTCAAGAGTAGAAGGATGACCCACCCTCTCTTCCCAGCACTTCCCAATCCCCCAGATTACTCTCCCACCCTTCCCCCACCCTCAGGCAAACTCCTCTCCTCAGACAGTATCAGGT